TGTGCACCCAGCGGACTCTGTGGTATGCTGGGAACAACTTAATAAAAATAAAAAAAAAAATTAACTTAAAAAAAATCATTGCCTAAATGTTTTAAACTCTCGATAAATGTGAATTATTTCATTTTTAATATTTTTATTGAGCTTTGTACCACGATTGTTTATTAGGAAAAATTGAAAAAGCAACAAAGTCTAAGCGGTAGAAGTTATAGCACTATTCCGGTGAATTATTTCAATTTTCTTTTGCGACTTAGGGAAGGTTGAGAACTCTTCCCAGACTCAGTGCAATAAGAGACTATTTTGCGAGATGTAAGTACATAATCAAAACCACTTGAAGGATTGAGCAATTTCGTGCCCAAAAAATAAGCACTGTACGGTTGTTAATAAGGAAATGGTTTTAATGTTGTCCGGATAAAAAAATGTTTACTATAGCATCGATACTGTCATTTCTGAATATCCACAGGAGCAAGTAAGATTCGCCACAGAATCTCTAAACTCTCTAACACCTTTTAAGTCTTCTTGATTGACTAGCCATTTATAATGAAATTTTTCCGCTAAAGAAGTGAAGTGATTGAAACTCATTGTTTATGTGTTGATCTATAAGTACCTTTACTAAATGAGATTACTAATCTTTTAAAATTTGACGATAGAGTTAAAGAAAACTCAACTTAAAAGGTAGAACCAAGGCATATCAAACAGGTATTAGAGCACAAACCACATTTATGTGTATTTTCTTGTTTCTTCTTTTATCTAAAGTAAATCTTGTAAATCAAAGAGTACCATGTGAAATACAAAAAAGTTAACATTAAATTTGGAAAAAAAAACTGATGGGACTTTCTGTCTTTTGTTTGTATCTCGAAGCATTGATACATTATTTGCAATGCCCAGGCATCAGCGTTTGTGCTGGAACGTTCACCTAACTCCACGTTCCAAAATTTGCTTGTCAATCGCTTGTTTTGTATGGGAAAAGGTTTCACATGCAAAAAGATTTTGACAATTTATATTTTGTGTGAGAAGGAATTAAAAATATTTGACATTTTAGAAACCAAATAATTTGAAACAAAAAAAAAATCAAGTCAGCTGCCCTACTGATACTATCTGTTCAATGTGCCTTGGGTAGAACAAAATATTGCAAATAAGTACATTTGATTGTACTTCGAAGTACGAGTACAACGGCTCAAAAGGAAGTACTGTACTTCCGAAAGAAGTACGGTTGGTCACATTAATTATACACGAAACAATAACTGGCTAAACAGAATGTAGTACCACAGCTACAAGCTATTTCGCTAGCTACATAAGCAATAACACACCATAACCACAGCTACATATTGTGGAAAATTTACGAGCATTTAGAATATTTTAACTTTTGACAGCTCTTGCTACATACTACAGCCTCATCATTCTGGTTAGGCAGTAAGTTTTTCTAACGAAACCTGTTCACCTTCTCAATTACATCGACAGCATATTTTCTTTACCTGTATACTCTTGCTACTAGCAAAATAGCTAAGCTTTATACGCCAAACTTTTAATTCAGAAACTGACAATAGATAAAAGAACGAGTCTAGAAAATTCAATGACAAACAACCAAGCGAGCAAGAAGCACAAAAAGTGTTCCACCATCTCATCCTTTTCAAGGCAGGATGGGCAAATGGACTATCAGAGTCAGGTGTTTGTGCCACATGATGTGACCAGTCAGCAGTCCAACAAGTTGTCTGCAGTGTCGTCTGCTCAGTGAGAGCAAAAAACTTCTGGCACTGAAGGCAACATGAGTTTTACCCAACTGTATCCCCTCGATGCCTCCCAGTCATTGCTGAGCGAAGTATTCGCCCAGTTTCTGATGGTTGCTTCGATGGCCGAAAGTGGGTGTGCTAAAACTGGTTGCAGACCGAAGAATGCCTGGTCTGAGTCAATTCTTGCCAAATCGTCAGATATCTCATTACCAGGTACTCCTGAGGGACCTGACGCCCAGAGTAAAGCAAGCTCGTTATGTTTACCACCATAATTTAGTCGAGACTTGCATTGCCGAACTAGTTTGGTTTGGTTTCGTAGTTAGAGGGCTGGCCAATGCCTTAAGTGCAGCTTGGCTTTGAGGATTGCAATTACCTCAGCCTGGAAGACGAAAGCATATTCTCCAACAGAAAAGTGAAGCTTATCCCCATTAACTCCGAAAAAGCCCCCAGATCATGACCTGGAGTCAGTTTTGGAGCCACCAGCGAAGATTCGACAATGTGTGAGTCCGGTCTCAGTGATGCAATTAAACCAGCATTCAGTCTAAGTGAACTCAACATTATAGAATCTCTTCGACAAAGGTAATGGTGGCGTACTATCCTGTAGCATTGAAATCACACAAGTGCTTAAATCTCTGCCACCAGCAATTTCCGCCGCGCCTCACGCAGTGTTATACCAACATCCGGCTATTTTTAGTCTGCAGGTGGCCTTTAAGGCTTTCCTACCTAAGAAAACACAAAGTGGCGGTAAGTACAGAAGAGCGTCAGTAGCACTATACACCACTCAAAAAATTAAATTTAAATAAAGAGGCTATCCAGTAACCATTTTGGCTCTTTACTATCAAAACCAGATAATTTTTCGTGGACCCCCACTTACAACTCATGGACCCCCATATTTTTTTCACGCCAACGTAGACCCCCGTCGAGTCTCGCGTGGAGCCCTGGGGCCCCCCTGGACCACTTTAGAAATCACTGGTTTAGTTCTACAAATAATATTGGAATCTTCATCGCTGGAAATTTGATGAGAGCCGAGAATCCAAGGATTATCGTTAACAGTAGCAGTCCTAAAGCTAAAGAACTGTCAAAACTCCATATAAAAGACAAGGTCAAGAAACGCTGAAGAAATATTTATTAAGCCAAATTTTTTTAAGCAGCTCGGAGCTCTTAAGAAATATGCTAGGCTTTCTACTACGGTTTTCTAAAGTTTTTTGTAGAAGAGCTCAAGGCAACCCATGTTTTCAACAGAAATATATGGCCGATCCATTATTTCGTGAGCAAAGAGTGAGACAGAAGGCTGTGGAACAGCAGACCCTACTATTCATACAAACGAAATAATACGGCAGCTCCTGCAATTCACTTCCGAGTGAATTTAAATCTAATTTGCTTTGAATTCAAATTGGCAGGGCTTGAAATTCACTGCGAAATGAATTGCAGAACCTGCTGAATGGCAATTTTTTTCTTGACATTTTTTAAGAGATCCGTACTTAGCTTTATACATTAAAATAGTTAAAATATTCATGGTCGTAGAAATTAAGTTTGGAAACCCTAAATAAGCAAAATAAGCCATTCCAAATAAAAACTTAAAATTTTGAGGTAACCTAATTACAATTCGAAAGAATTGCTAATTGCTTTTATTTGCATACCGTTACCTTAATATAGAAAGGCCCTAACTCATATAGTCGCTGAAATACAAAAAAGCCGTAACGAACTAAATTTTTTTATTGCTTACATATGTAAAATTATGTAGGCACTTATAATTCGAAGAAATCCATCATAATCATCAAAACCGGAATTTTTGATTTTTACTTAGTTGCGGCTTTTTGTATTTCAGCGACGATGTGAGATAGGGCCTTTCTATATTATGGTAACGATATGTACATATGTAGGTTTTGCTCCTCGATTCAAAAATAATAGGGGAGCTAACGATGTTTAGCATTTTAGGTGTAAAGTTGCTACGTAGTAATCTAGCACAGAGCTTCTTACAGTGTGTTCCGCGGAACCCAAGGGTTCCGTAGAAAAGTCACCGGGGCTCCACGAAATTAATTTTGGCGAAAGAGCGTTGAGCTTGCGCTTGCCAGCTTGTTTTTTTATCTAACCGGCATGTGTTGTTGGTCGCTGTAGCTGTAAAGGGTTATAAAAAACTTCCTACAAGGAACGCGACGAATTGCCAAATGAAATGTAAAATGTCGTAACTGAGCACTTGGTAAATCACCTTTCTTTGTCAGATTATTTTTCGGATGGTAGTAGTAATATCGGTTTGCTAAAAAATCCATTTACGAAGCATTCATAGATTTCCAGAGGTTTTCGACATTGTAACACACATTTGCATCTGTGTCTCTGAAAGAGTTTTGGGTTAGTGTTAAGAGTAAATATCATGAAGTCGCTAAAAAGACCATCTTAATTTTGCTTCCTTCTGGCACAACGTACTCTGTCAACAAAGGGTTTCAGCTTACAACTACCCCAGAAATGCGCATACAGCTTTCAGACATTATATCGAACTGCTATTTTATACAATGATTACTAACAGTGAAACAATTTCATTCTTCACATAAAAATTTAAAGTATGTATACTATTTCTAGTAAAAGTTTTTATTCATATTTAAATTGTTCTATATTTTTTTTTTTAGTAATTTGATGTGGGGTTCCATAAAATGAAATGTGGTTAGTAAGGGTTCCATTATCTTAAAAGTCTACGAACCCCTGATCTAGCACATGTTTTGTTTTTTGCGTTTCCAACAACAAAATGCGTGCTAGATTTCCAAGTAGCGACTTTGCACCTAAACTGCTACTCAGCTTTAACTCCCTTAATGTCTTTTTGAAGAAAATTCATAGAGATATTTTACATAAATATTAGTTTTGTTCTATTTTATTATGTACATATGTAGTTTTTTCTCTGTCTGGACTAAAGAATCGCTCAAATATTTACAGTTATTAATGTATGTACATATGCATACATAAGGCGTATAACTTAAACATATCGATGGTCTTGTGCAATAACGACACAATTCAAAATTCAAAAAATAAAAACTGTTACTACAGTTGGGTGGCTCATGTCTACAATCCTTGTCGAATTTATGTCTAATCTTTTGTATTTACTTTAGCAATCCTTACTGCTTACTTTAGAAAGGGATGAAATGGATTAGACAAGAATTAGAGACAAGAGCCACTAACAGTAGTCACAGTTTTTGTTTTTTGAATTTTGAATTGTGTCGTTATTGCACAGGACCATCGATATCTATATCATATTGTATATAAATATCTATGTGTATTATTTACCAGGAGCTTCGCCATCATAATTAAAGTTCTTTATAAAAAGGGTGCGAGAGTCCACAGCATATACATCTCCCGAAACGCCGTGATGCAGTCTTTTTAACGCTCCAATTTTCGCACCATAATAGGGAAATGAAGCGTCGGCAGGAGCGGCTGGAAAAAAGTTATTTAAATTCATATTAATCATGTTATAACAAATGTTAATAAATATTTTTATCAAGATGATTTTATTCAAATTCCAACATATGTATGTATAGGAAAAATTATGGGTTTTTGTTAAATTTGTCCAAAAATATGATTTCTAATTCAAGTTCCAAATTTGTTTATAAGTTAATAAAATTAGACATAGTATTTTATAGCCGGTAACCGCACCGCGCAATACAGCCATAGGAAATAACGCCATATGGTTTTATTTCTATGGGAAAAGTGAAATAAAGCCATAAGCAAAGACTTTACGTACGAGGAACAAAGTCGTACGATCTTATTTCAATACAAAAAACAAATTTTGTCTCTTTAGAGGCGGTCCGCGTTGGCTCGCCACCCCGCGCTGTGCTCGCACTCCCCGCCCCAGGATCGCGCCGCGCGGCCTTTGTATGAAATTGTTGCTTTGTTCATTCTTCTTGCGTTTGATGATGTACATACTAGGGATATTGCGAATGTGGAATTTTAGACATCCGCGGATGCGAATGCGGATGTCAAGTATTTTTTTTTGCTAAAAATTACTTGTTAATATTAGCTATACTTTGCGAATTTTTGCAAATTTGGGAACAATTACCGCAGCTCTAATAGAAAATCCATTATTTTCCATCATTTTGGAACAATTTTGTTTATGCAAATGAGTATGGAAACACTGAATAGGCACAACTTCTAGAAATACTAATTAGTTTACTTATGTTTATGCATACAATATAAAAATTGCAAATATAGGAAAATTACAAAAAATTTTGTTCAACATTTTTTTTTTAAATCATTTGTTTATAATCTGAACGATTTTCATCATATTATTATCATAAATCAGAAACAGTAAGTCTCGTCTTCAATTTGGTAATTATTACGTACCGATCGAGTAACATTTACCAAAGTTATATCGAAAAACTTAAGTGGATCTCCAGTTTTTTGCTAAAGAAAATTCTCTTAAATTGTATAAATAACTTTTAAATAAAATAATCGGATTACAGAAAAGTGTGCCAGGGAGTGACTTTTCCTCATAAGGATTTCCCAGGATATGTTAAAGACTATTGCATTTACCTACAGTCACTTCACTAATGGAATTAAATCACTTCACATAATGGAATTAAATATTTATGTATATCTAACCACTTATTGTACGTCCCCTACTTTCAAATAACGGCAAATTTAGAAACCGCGAAAAATGTGCTTAAAATGGGCGTTATAATTAATTATAATGCTCGAAACTACTATTAATTTATTAAACGATTCCTAATCTTTGACAATACATGTTTGACTACATTCACCACGATCTTGAAAACGACCAAATCGGCGTGACCCAAGTCCATGGTAATTTTAATGATATAAACATCCGAAACGTTTGAAATAAATCTTGTCTCACTTTTTAATATTTTTCACTGGGTTTCTGAAGTAATGAAGAATTGAAAATTTATAAGGGAAAATTATAGTTTTGGTAACTTATATCCTAATATCTTAAAAACTTGTAGACTTATTGAAAAATGATAAATGAACGTAAGGTACTAAATTTAATAACCCTTAATTTGATATATCGTCCTGTTTATAACAATTAATGCATTCCATAGATATTACAAGCCAAAGTTTCATTTTCAAAATTCACACACTTTGATTCAATTGCGCGGGCTAAAGATAAGTTTTAAATTAGTCATTCGTGGCCAATAACAATTGGCTTAGACCTAAGACATCACTATAATATTACTATTACAATACGGTCAAATCTTTTATTTTCCCCCATACAAAATCGACCCGGCCTAATGTATATGTATATGAGGTTGAGTGCTTTTCGTCTTTGTCATTAATAATTTTACACAAACCTCGAGTAAATATGCATACTATGGCAGCATTAAACGCCATTTTGCATTTTCTCGTTTCAGCTCGAGAACATTATTTACTGTTTTTTTAATAATAATCATAAAAAGCGCAATATTCAAAAAAAAAGTTGTGTTAATAACTTTTGCACGGTTAACAATATATTCGGCATTGAACTACAATTATTTACTTTTGAATTAATAACACAATTCTATTTTATCCTTCTGATTTAATTTTTTTTTTCAGACGGATGACAAATTATCTTTTAATGAATATATGAGTTGTCCACTTGTAAACAGCGTTATGTGATTTTATAAAAGTAAGCCACAAATTAAAAAAAAAAAACGTCTACGACAACAAGTAACATCGGAACTGTATCTTTTTTTATTAGGCCTGTATGCAGCTCTCAAGAAAAGCAAAAACTCCATATAAAATGACGTACAAGAAATGGCTAAGAAATTTTCTTGAGTCAAATTTCCTGAAGGCAGTACGCAGTTCTTAAGAAATTTACTACGCTTTCTACTACGGTTTTCTAAAGTTTTTTGTGAAAAAA